CCTGCCTGCCTGTCAGCAGCTCCCCAGCCTCCCTGGCCGAAAGGTGGCTGGACAGCCCTCGCACCCACAGCTCTCAGGAGCACTTCCGTTCTGGATCAGAGGACACCTGAGAGGCGCGGAGGGCGTTTCCTCTGCACCTTTCTGTGGCTGACCAGGACCTAGCTGGCCACTTCCTGCCCCACCTGACACTGCTTTCCTGGTATCTAAGGCCATCCCAGGGGCCATTCCCTGTCACCAGTGGGCCCTCACTTGTCACACAAGCTACTCTTCATCTTTCTTGTGCTGGGGAAACTGGCCCGGGAGGCCCTAGTCTGGGCTGACGCTCCAGCTGTGGGCTGTGAGCTGTCAGCAGGGCAGTGGTGTCTGCATCTCAACCGCGCGTCTCCGGGAGGGGTGCCCGCTGGGAGGGGCGAGCGGCATGGAGTCTGCAGGTGGCGCTCAGGCGGGCACGTTGCTGAGGTTGTGCTGGGTGTGATAGATCCCAATCCTGTGCATGGAGGACGGGCCCCCAGGGCACCCTCGCCCCGCGCAGCACCGGTTCTCTGTACAGTGTTTGGTGGAAGATGGTGTTTGGCACGGGAGATGTCTTACTTTGAGCCACGTCTAACCTGGAAACAGGCCACTCAGACAAAGTACTTCATCTTTCAGGCCAAGAAGACCCTGGAGGGAGGCGGCAGTTAGGAGAAACCCTGGGCTGCAGTTCGCATACTCACCCGCGTGTCGGCACAAGCACCTCGCACTACCCTGGGCAGCCCCGCAGGACATCGTGAGGGTGGAAAGGAAGAGGGACCACGGAATCCTGATGTCAGGCCGTATCCTCAGCAGGCTGACCTGGATCAGGATCCGGGTCAGTATGACGGGGCCAACCCAGCAAGACAGACCGATCATGCGTGGTTCCAGGTTCTCCCAGGCATGGAGGAGCCTACAAGCCCCTGTGGGAACTGGCAGGGTCGGTGGTGGTGGCCCTCTGCCTCAGGATCCCCACTTGAAAACATCCCCCCAGAAATAGCTCACTGAATCTAGTGAAGCTTGGAGCCCTAAGTATTGTCCAGGACACACTCAGAGAAAGCATAGCAACTCCTGGGGGCCCAGAGCCCTGGAAGCCTCTCGGAACTTTCTAGGCTTGGGAGCTGGTCTGGGTCAGAGCAGAGCAATAGGTACCTGAGCCACCCACAAGGTCTGCCCAGGCCACCAGCAAGAGACTTTGCTCCCCTCCTAGGGGTTAGCTGCCCCTCTATACACTCCGCTCGGGGTCCAAGCCCAGTAATCACCGATGGCTTCTGGGCTGCCCCTCCCCCTTCCCTGGAACCAAGGTCAGAGGTACAACACCCCCCACACGTTTGGGGAGACCCAGGATGGACTCTGCCCCAGGCCACCCCTACATGCTGTCCCAGGGTTGGCCTTGTGTCCCCCAGCATGAAACCCTGTGTCTGACACATGGTCTGAGTTTGCAGGAGCCAGTCGTTTCCCAAGGTTCCGGGGTGGCTGGATCTGGTCCCAATGTGGGATCTCACCGGAATCATAGGACTTCAGGACCAGGATGTGTCAACGTGACCCTGAGCTGAGCCGCCACAGCCCGCCTCTTCTGCTGCCCTGTCCTCTGCTCACTGGCCAGGGCTTCCAGCATCCGCTCCCTGGTGTCCCACACTGGCCCCAGCAGGGCACACTGCTGGCCGCGCAGACCTGCCTTGTCCATGTTCCCCGTTGCCCTCACTCTAGCCCCATCCCCTGGGCAGACAGCTCTCCCCTCAGCCTTGTTCCTGAGCCTGCCCTCTGGCTGCGCCCAGACTCAACCTTCAGGGCTCGTTATGGGTGAGGTGGGTGCCACCAGAGGCCGCAGTGTGCCTGTGATGCCAGCTGCTCGGAGGCCGAGGGCAGCCTAGACAACACAGCAGGCCTGTCTCCTCAAATACAAAGGGGGGGGGTGTGATAGTTAAAAGTGCTGGACTCTCATGGCTGATCACCGTTGCGTCCCAGACCTAGAGGCTTGAAACGGCTGAGCACATGTGCCTCCGAAATCCTTGGAGAATAGAGCAGGGATTGCAGCACAGCCACCCCGGGGGTGATCTCATTTCCCCGTCTCCAGTGAGTGCACGTGCCTACGGTAGGGCCTAAAATAAACAGTTGGTGCCGGCCACAGCACGCTGTCTTAACTGTTGCAGCGACGCAGACAGGAGCCCGAGGTCAGAGCTGTGTCCATCCCTTCTCTAGGGGCCTTAATCCTGTTAAAGAGAATGCCTTAAAGACCCAGCTGAGCGTGGGGCAGACATGTCTGGACTGGAGCCTGGCTTGGAGATGGGCACCGTGTCGGGATATGGGGCTCCGAGTCGCTCGGGCCTGCCTGTGCTTGTTGCGTGTGCTACACGTGCACTGCCCAGGCCAGGGCTGGCCAGAAAGCAAGGCCCTCCATGTGGGTTCTGCCGTCCCTGGGAAGGTGCACTTGAAACGAGGGACTGAGCCCCAGGTGGCCACCCTCTGGAGGAGGCCAGGGTGTGAACCCACCAGCACTCTAATGGTCTGAAGGCTTCCCAGCATCCTGCAGCAGGTCACTTGGGAAGTCCCCCACTCCAGTGCGGTCCTGCAGGAACCAGCTCTGCTTCTGGGAGCTCTGCCCCTTTCACAGATCTTGAAAAGTTCATGGAAAGTGCATGTTTCTTTTGGGGGGAACAAAATAACCTGTATTCTGGGCCATCAAGTGGCACAGAGGGTAAGGCAGCTGGATCCCACATGGTTGGCAGCATGGTTCAAGTCCTGGACCCAGCAGCTTGAGAGACGCTCTGGTGTGTGTGTGTGCCCAAACAGGAGGGAGCCGGGACTGCTGGGACCTCTCTCTCCCCCATCTGCCCTATAGCAAAAATGTAAAACCTGTATCTTCATTAGATTTCCCTCCTCCTAAAATAATTGTTTTTCAGGGTAGTGATGGTGTGTACCATGGCAGTAGGGCCTCCACACTTTAGTCTCCTGCATTATGTTTTCTGGGCTCCAAGCTGCTCAGACATTTTTCATGTTAAGAAATTACAGTAAATTCAAAACAACAGGTGGGTGGATCTCGAGTTCAAGGCCAGTGGCCAGACTGAGAGAAACTGTTTATCAGGGCTTCAGGAGGTGCAGAGGAAGGAGCCAGGGCCAAGTGCAAGCCCCCCAAGGCCTTTCAGGAGGAACCCAGTCCTTTCCCACAGCAGGCCCCATGGCCAGACTTGGGCCCTTTTGAGTTGCCCTGGCACATGCTCAGTGAAGGCTGCCCCTCCTGTCCCAGGCTGCTCCCACACATCGACAGGCCTGGGTGCCTCCTGGCAGCTTCCACAGGCCGGAGGGGCAGTGGTGTCTGCAGAGGGGAGTCCCACCCCCTCAGGACTACCCGCTGCATTGAGAGGGCAGCAGGAGGCAGGCAGCCACAACTCCCAGTGCCAGGCTCTGCAGGCCAGCACCTTCTGGGGTCAAGGGCCTACCAGGCTGCCCTGGCCAGGGCCCGGTTCTCACGGCCTCCCATCCTTGGCCCTGTGGGTTCTGGGCAACACCATGTGGGGCTTCTGACCTCCAGTCCCTACATCACTCAAGTCCTCCCATGGCGACCTCTAGTCAGGGTTACCAGCATAACAGGCCCATGGTTTAGGGAGCCCCCAGGCTTCCTGGGCTCAATCTGCGCTCCACCCTAACCCTCCAGAAGGTGGGAGCAGTGGGGCAACGGCAGCTTTATTGTGACGTTCTTCGACACTTGGGGAGGTGCGGCTGTGAGGCCAGCCCTGCGGCATCGGGGGCGTCGGTACCTCAGCCACGTCTGCTCATCCTAGGCCCACACACGCCCGGGCGAATAGGCTGGGTCTGTCTGAACATGGGCGGGCAGCCAGACGCAGCCTCGCACGCAGCTCGGGTGCTCAAGCCAGACCCATGTGTCCTCCTGGGCTGGGGTGGAGAAAGCACGGCGGTGACAGGACGGTGACAGGAAGAATGCTTTAGGCAGTGAGAGCTTCAGACACCAGTGACGGTGAGGGCTCAGGCCTCCTCTGGAGCCCCCGGCAACTGTCGGATCTGCCGGCTGTGCACCACCTGCAGGGCAGCTCCCGCAGCCTGGCGCAGCTGGGCACCCAAGGCGCTGCGGAGGTCATTCCCCTGGACGTCAGGCAGGGCGTTAAAGCTGATGACAACCCCGTCCTCCAGGGCTGGCTCCCCCTCGGCAGGAGGGGCGAGATCTCGTCGCCGCCTCCTGAGGTCAGAGCCGGCCTGCAGCTTCAGCTCTCGGCTGCCTTCAGCCTTGTCCAGCCTCTGCCTGGGTTCTTGGACAGCAGCGTCCTGCTCAGCTCTCGGATGCTCATGGGGAGCAAGGCCATGGTCCCCACGGAGGGCCTCCTTTCCTGCCTCTGGGCGACGGCCCTGGTCTGCCTGGCGGCCCTGCTGCACGCCCTCCCCGCCATCAGAGATGGCCCCAGGTCCCGGCTGATGTAACAAGACCTGGGGTGGAGCGACTGCACCCCCTGACCGGCTGGACTGCCCCACTGCAAGGCCCAGGCCCTGGTTCACTGGGCTGGACGCCACATGAAGGCCCCCAGCCTCCACACCCATCCCCACCCCCGGCCTGCCCACCCCCTCCTGCATGTCAGCACCAGGGCCTGCTGCCTTGTCTCCAGATCGCTTCTTTTCTGGGGGACCTCCACCCAAAGTGCCCTGACTCTGCCTGGGCAAGTCTTCAGTGAGCCGCTTCTCTGAGCCCGCAGGGACCCTGGCAGGGTCTGGGACAAGCAGCTGTTCCAAGCCCTTCCCAGCCCCAGCCGCCTCGGGCAGCACACCCTCGTGGCCTGCTTGCAGCTGGGCCTGGGCTGCCTGGGGCTCCATGTCAGAGGCCCCACCAGGAGGTCTGTCCATGGCCCCCTTGGGCTCCTCCAAGGACTGCTGGCCAAGCTGCTGGGGCACAGCAGGGACATCCCCAGGACTCTCAAGGATGGGCTCCAAAGGCTGCACAGGAGGGCTCCCTGCCATCACCCCAGTCTTCCCGAGGGCCTCCTTCACCGGGTCTAGGGGTGCAGCAACCCCGGGCTCCGGCTGCATGTCCACTGCAAAGCAATCAGGCGACATGTCAGCCAGGATGGACTCGGCTCAGAGGCAGCAACCGGAGGCTCGCCCTGGCACAGCCACATGGCCCACAGCCACATGGCCCAGGCCACCCCCCCACCCAGCCCGCGCCCCTACCCTGCCGGGGCCGCTCCTCCTCGCCATCCTGTCTCTGCTGGTGGATCTCCTTGTGCTGCTCCTCGATCACCGCCAGCAGCTTCTCCTGCTGGTCCAGCAGCCGCTTCTGCTGCACCTGCTGCTCCTGGATCACCCGCAGCAGCACCGCGTGGTCCAGCAATCCTGCCCGGCCTGCCTCTGCGGGACATGACGGTGGTCAGGGCACCGGCCCAGGTGCCCACACCACCCACCACACCCAGCCACGCCAGCTCAGTGAGGCGTGCAGGCTACAGGGCCGTGGGTGCTGGCCGGAACCCCGCCTGTACCCCAGCAGGGGCCTTGCCCCCACCAGAGCACCCCACAGCTGGCCCGGGTGACACCCTGAGCAGGGCCCGGCTGCCCTTCTGTGCTCACTGGAAACCAGTGTCTAGAGAAACAAAGGAGGGGCCAGAAGGCGGAGGACAGCGCCCGGACTGGGCCAGCCCCTCTCACACGGTGGCCCCTGGACAGGAGCCCCAGAATGAGACTTGTATGTGTGCTCGTTGGGGAGACAGAGGGAAGCGAGAGATCATCCCCAGGGAGGGTAGCCATGCTGCAATCCCTCCTCCACTCTCCTCCTGGGGTTTTTGTGGGCACGCATGCACACGTGCCTGGTTTGACCTTCAGGCCAGGTCTAGGACTCGAACCATAGCCAATCATGTGGGAATCCAGTCCCTTAAGCACTATGCTGCCTGTGGACCCCAGAAAGAATTTTTAAAACCAAACTTAACATCCTGTCAAGCAGAGCCTGAGACTCAGTGAGACCTGGCGGCTTTCCCCACCTGCTGCTCCCAGCTGCCCCTCACTCCAGCTCAGGGAGTCCTGGCACCAGGCCACCACGGAAACCAAAGGGAAGGTACGTGGTAGACAGCATGGGAAGGGCTCGCTGGCCATCACTGCGCGTGACCCGCGTCACTCAGGACAAGGGCTGACCCCAGCTGCGTGCAGCAGCCACCCCGGGCACAGCAGCGTGCTCACACCGTCTGCAGCCAGTGGCCGAGGCTGTGTGCAACACGTCTATCTGAACAGGGGGCTCTCTGAGAAGCCGGGGCTGTTGGGCATCCATTCCAACTCAGAAAGAAGGGTTTCTGAGACTGGGAGGCAGCCCAGAACAGGCCCTCACATGCCAGGCAGCAGAGGTGCAGCTGCCCTGCTGTGGGATGCAGCCTGGTCACCACAGCCATGGCATGCCAGTGTTCCCATGGGGGCCGGGGGCCCAGCTCTGGTGGCAGTGCAGGACACGCACACAGACGCACAAGCCAGGCTGCAGAGGCGACTTGCGGGGCCTGGAGTGCCTGCTCTCAGTGTCCAGCCCAGACTCCCCGTCTCTCCGCAGGTGAGGAGAAGTAGGACCCCGTCCCATCAATTAGCATCTGCAGATCTCGAGCACGTGACACACAGCAGTATGAGGACAAGGCCCACATGCCACTGGCACCTTTCCTGCCCCAGGGACCCTGCCCCGGAAGAGCAGGCCCCTCTGCCACACTTCTCCCTTGGACCAGCCCTGGACCCTGTTGTGAGGCAAGGGGAGTAGAGGACACCATGCCAGCCAAAAGTCACGGGACAGGAGACAGTGTGAGGTGACAGGCCCCACAGCCAGAGCCCCAGGCCAGCTCGCAAGTGGGCAGAGCCACCCCGCACCCAGCCACGAGCAAGAAGAGGTAAAGTATAAAAGCAGCAAACAGGCTTAGATGACAGACCGCCACACTGGGAGCGATAATCAGAACCAGACTAAGGCCAGAGACGGCGGCCATGGCAGGCCCTTCCCCCCTTCCTGCTGCTCCTGGATCACCCGCAGCAGCACCGCGTGGTCCAGCAATCCTGCCCGGCCTGCCTCTGCGGGACATGACGGTGGTCAGGGCACCGGCCCAGGTGCCCACACCACCCACCACACCCAGCCACGCCAGCTCAGTGAGGCGTGCAGGCTACAGGGCCGTGGGTGCTGGCCGGAACCCCGCCTGTACCCCAGCAGGGGCCTTGCCCCCACCAGAGCACCCCACAGCTGGCCCGGGTGACACCCTGAGCAGGGCCCGGCTGCCCTTCTGTGCTCACTGGAAACCAGTGTCTAGAGAAACAAAGGAGGGGCCAGAAGGCGGAGGACAGCGCCCGGACTGGGCCAGCCCCTCTCACACGGTGGCCCCTGGACAGGAGCCCCAGAATGAGACTTGTATGTGTGCTCGTTGGGGAGACAGAGGGAAGCGAGAGATCATCCCCAGGGAGGGTAGCCATGCTGCAATCCCTCCTCCACTCTCCTCCTGGGGTTTTTGTGGGCACGCATGCACACGTGCCTGGTTTGACCTTCAGGCCAGGTCTAGGACTCGAACCATAGCCAATCATGTGGGAATCCAGTCCCTTAAGCACTATGCTGCCTGTGGACCCCAGAAAGAATTTTTAAAACCAAACTTAACATCCTGTCAAGCAGAGCCTGAGACTCAGTGAGACCTGGCGGCTTTCCCCACCTGCTGCTCCCAGCTGCCCCTCACTCCAGCTCAGGGAGTCCTGGCACCAGGCCACCACGGAAACCAAAGGGAAGGTACGTGGTAGACAGCATGGGAAGGGCTCGCTGGCCATCACTGCGCGTGACCCGCGTCACTCAGGACAAGGGCTGACCCCAGCTGCGTGCAGCAGCCACCCCGGGCACAGCAGCGTGCTCACACCGTCTGCAGCCAGTGGCCGAGGCTGTGTGCAACACGTCTATCTGAACAGGGGGCTCTCTGAGAAGCCGGGGCTGTTGGGCATCCATTCCAACTCAGAAAGAAGGGTTTCTGAGACTGGGAGGCAGCCCAGAACAGGCCCTCACATGCCAGGCAGCAGAGGTGCAGCTGCCCTGCTGTGGGATGCAGCCTGGTCACCACAGCCATGGCATGCCAGTGTTCCCATGGGGGCCGGGGGCCCAGCTCTGGTGGCAGTGCAGGACACGCACACAGACGCACAAGCCAGGCTGCAGAGGCGACTTGCGGGGCCTGGAGTGCCTGCTCTCAGTGTCCAGCCCAGACTCCCCGTCTCTCCGCAGGTGAGGAGAAGTAGGACCCCGTCCCATCAATTAGCATCTGCAGATCTCGAGCACGTGACACACAGCAGTATGAGGACAAGGCCCACATGCCACTGGCACCTTTCCTGCCCCAGGGACCCTGCCCCGGAAGAGCAGGCCCCTCTGCCACACTTCTCCCTTGGACCAGCCCTGGACCCTGTTGTGAGGCAAGGGGAGTAGAGGACACCATGCCAGCCAAAAGTCACGGGACAGGAGACAGTGTGAGGTGACAGGCCCCACAGCCAGAGCCCCAGGCCAGCTCGCAAGTGGGCAGAGCCACCCCGCACCCAGCCACGAGCAAACATGTCGGCCACACCCATGGCCACACACACAGCCACGGCACCAAGGGGTGCCTGACACAGCACCCTCCAGCCCCCGGGCCACGGCCAAGCTGTGCAGGACAAGGACCCAGGTGCCCGTGAAGCACAGGCAGGCTGGCTGCTGGGACCCCACCCACTGAGGGCCGGGGCCGACGCTCCCACTGTGTACCCTGGACATCCTGGGCCTTGACCCTCCAGGCACGCTTCCAAGGGAGCACGCGCCTCCCGGTTCCTACCTGCTACCATCTTTTTAATCTCAGCTGCTCGTCCGTTGAAAGGCGTACGGAAGAAAGCAGAATAGGAAATCGTGAAAAGTCTCTTTTTCAGAAAGAGGAAAAGATGAAAGCAGCAAACAGGCTTAGATGACAGACCGCCACACTGGGAGCGATAATCAGAACCAGACTAAGGCCAGAGACGGCGGCCATGCCAGCCCCTTCCCGCCCCTGAGAGCCAGACACCGGGGCACCTCCCGCTCGCACCCACCTTCAGGTGCTCAGGGTGGGCAGAGCCAGCCAGCGGCCCCACACGCCACCGCGCACTCAGGGAGGGCTGTCGGTGGCCACAGGGCCCACTGAAGGCTGACTCAGAAGCATTCCTTCAAAGGCACGGGCGGCAGCTAGCCCCAAGGCCCCGCTCACAGAGCCAAACAGCCACCTGCCATCACTCCCGTGCAGACGCCTGAGGACTGACGGGACACCGACGCAGAAGCCCAGGCTGCGGGCAGCCAGGCAGGGTGAGGGGCCGGGTGTCCTGCGAGAGCACTCAGGTACTGCTAGCGACACGGTATGCACACCCCCAGGGGCCTGGAGCCTCAACCTGGGAGGGGGCACGGCCAAAGAGGACAGGATGGGGGTATGCAGACCAGGCCACCAGAAGGGCTGCGACACCTCCCCTGCAAAGGTGGTCATGGATGCTAACTGCTGGGGTCAACCCAGGACAGGCGAAGGGCTGCAGGGCGCTAAGGACAGATCTCATGCTGGGGACAGAAAAGGTGAGGATTCCCCGCCATGGGACATGGCTGAACCTCGGCTGCAGGTGACCTCGGGTGTGTCCAGGGGAGCAGGACCTTGCTAGGACCTGAGCCGGGCAGCCCTCCCACCGGGTACTGGCAAGTGCGGCCTCAAACTAGCGTGCACAGCCAGGTGTCTCAGCACCTCGCCTGCCGCCTCACACCACGCGTGGGCGACACCAACTCGCCCACTCTCGGATGAGGCGATGACAGCCAGAAGCCCAGGGACCCGCGGCAGGACCGGAAGGAGCTGCCAGGAGCAGACGTGGGGCCCACGAGGGCGCCCAGCCCACCTGCAGCCCTCCCGTGTCACCCTGGGGCTGGACACCCAGACCTTACCCTCCAGCTTGCCCGCCGTGTCTGCGCCCGGCCGCTCTGCATCCCTCTGCTCTTGCACCTCTGGCCGCGGCCCAGCCCCAGGAGCCGGTTGCTGGTCCAGGAGGGGGGCCTTCCCACCTGCGCACAGGGAGAGCTCAGGGTCTGCACAGGGCTGGGATGGGGCGAGGACGACTGGTGCAAAAGGTGGCAGAGTCTTCCAGAATGCTCTCCGCCACACCCCTCCCTCCCCCGTCAGCAGTTTATATTCAACCTGATGATTACCAGGGAAGTAATAAAAATATTTAACAATCTTGGAGGCTTGTGGCTGCAAGCCAATGCTAACTACTTCTTCAGTTAAGATGTGAGCTCCGTCCTGACTGGCTCTTAGACGGTACTGAACAGGCTGTCTGGGGGGGTAAACG